GTTGGTGATGAAATAAAGCAATCATTCATGGTAGATCTGAGTTCTTGACTTGTGTTCATGAATCGCTTCGGTTTTTCGTCTCCCGAACCCACTTGGAGGTGGTCGAGCACTCCAGCAATAGAGCCGAGCACTCTAGGGGAGGTGCCGAGCACTCCGAGAGGGGTGCCAAGCACTCCAGGAGTGGTGCCGGGAGGTCCTGCAGTGGTGGCAACCACTCCAGGACGGGTGCCAAACACTCCCGTAGCGGAGCCAAGGGGTCTTGCAGTGGGGCCGACCACTCCAAGATTGGGGCTAAGCACTCCTGCAGTGGTGCCGATGACTCCAGGAGTGATGACGAGCGGTCCAGGAGTAGTCCCGAGTATAGAAACACTTGGTTTAACTTGTAACAGATTTGAGCACTCCAGCACACTCAAAAGAAAGTAAAGAACCTCATATATATATAGCACTATCCCCCTCAAAAGGCCATTGGAAAATGTCTACCAGAAAATTGTGCATGGCCAAATAATCCACTGGGTTGTCCTTGGTACTGCATCTTATCATTCGGCGGGATATATCTTCATATTATACTTATTTCTTATAATAGATATGTAGTCTTGCATATAAAGTTGTTGATCAAACATGCATAAAATAATTTCAGTTAGGACAACTCCATAAATTAACCTATTTCGGGATAGAGGGGGTATTACAATTTCCATGGCCGTCCACCTTTGTACGACTTGGAAACTGCCATGTGACACAAGTTACAAAACTTCCTTTGATAATGTCATTATCCCGCGTATGGTAGGTGCGCTGATATATGAATCATCCAATGCTGGCATGAAAATCTAGAGCTTAAAATAAGGGCAAAAGAAAGTGATACCGAGATCTTTTCCTTGGTTTTGTTGATAATAACTTAGCCACCTTTTCTCAAATAAAAAACAAATTGGGGAGACCTGCAAGGTCTCCCTTCACAAGTGTACGCCCAAGAACAGATGGAATTTAATAGGCATAAGCTTAATTAGTGATGCCACATTTTTCAATTATAGTGTAGTACTGAAATGGAATTTAATACATTGACCTTGCATAAGTCTATATGTACCCAAAGTTAATACGTGTAAGCTTCAACTACCTCCCCTACATACACCTTTGGTTTCATGGTGCCAAGATCATCTACGTTTGTACTCGCTCTATCACGTCCAATGTTTTCAAGGCAAAACATTAGTTGCGCTACTATACGTTTCCATGGTACTATACCAGCTTGTGCACTAGCAAAGAATAATGTATGAGTTGCTGCAAAGACAAATGTGAAATCATGGCAATCATCCAAATCTCCCTTTTAGCATCCACTACGGGATAGGTACAGTCGTTTCGCCGAGTGCCAAGGGCACTCAGCAATGGCCCAAAAACACTTGGCAACTGCTTTGCCAAGTGTAACACTCGGCATACAACACACGACATCTTTTTGTCGGCAAACAGCTATTTGCCGAGTGCTTTTTGTCGGGCACTCGGCAAAGCCTTTGCCGAGTGCCGAAAAAGCACTCGGCAAAGATTTACACTTGGCAAAATGAAAATGCGAAAAAACCCAAAAATAATAGCAAAAAATTTTTTCGGGGGAGGCCGCCACCAGCCAGCGCCCGCCCGTCTTCATCGAAGTCAGTGCATTTTTTGCACTAAATTCGCGGCTAACGCAGCCGGCGGGATTCGAACTCACGACCTCTCCCACACGTGTCTGCTGCTCTACCACTGCACTACAATGTCACTTGTGTCTAGATTCCGTTATCTATCCTCATATATTATACTAAACCGAGAGTAAATTGCTTGTTTGAGGCCCTAAACGAATTCAAATAAAAAATGGTCAACTACAAAGTTTCATAACTTTTCGAGATCTACAATTTTCATTTAGGCAGTTTTTCCATCCGAGGTCGTTTGAAAAATTCGAATTTCAAATTTGAGAGATTCAAACGTAGTTTTGCATGATAAGATGATTTCAAATCAAAAAGTTGTCAACTACATAGTTTCATAACTTTTGGAGATATACAATTTTCATTTAGGAAGTTTTTCCATCCGAGGTCTTTTGAAAAATTCAAATTTTCAAATTTTCAAATTCAAACGTCGTTTTTTGCATGACAAGATGATTTTAAATCAAAATGTTGCCAACTACAAAATTTCATAACTTCTCAAGATCTACAAAGTTTATTTTGGTCATTTGTTCATCTGACATAGTGGTAGTAACATTGTTCACAAATCTTATATATATCTCTTCTACTTTCATGAAACTAATATGAGAGATGAGAGATGTAGATTTTATGAACAACATTATTGTCGCTTTGTCAAATAAAGAAATGACCAAAATAAACTTTGTAGATCTTGAGAATATCTAACTTTATAGTTGAAAAGTTTTTCTTTTGAATTCATTTAGGGCCTCAAAATTACTTTGAAAAACTAATTTGCCGAGGACAAAAAAATGCACACGGTAAAATGCCTCTTTGCCGAAAGTGCCAAAACAAAGGCACTCGGCAAAATACATCTTTGCGAGTGCCAGAAAAGCACTTTCGGCAAAGACGCATTTTGCCGTGTGTCGAAAAATAGCACTCGGCAAAATACATCTTTGCGAAAGTGCGAAAAAAAGGCACTTTCGGCAAAGGCGCATTTTGTCGAGTGTTTTTTTTGCCGAGTGTATTTATTTGGCACTTTCGGCAAAAGACCGTCTTTGCCGAAAGTGTCGATAAAATACACTCGGCAAAAGCCTCCGGCACTCGGCAAAGTGCTGGTTTTCGGTAGTGATCTTTCAAATCATTATGTGCATATAGTGGACATATTGCAGCTACATATTCTTTTATATCCTGATAAACATTATATGGCATGTGATCTCTCGTGTTCATGCACAAACATAGTGAATCGTTATTAGGAGTAGCAGGTACAGATAAGGATATAAGGTACAACTAATGCTAGATAAGGAGAAACTTAGTTTGGATGATGCTCCACTTGTAAGTCCACTAGCTGTAGCAGCAAGACCGACACTACTTTAGGTTCATGAACCCTTCACTGCCAAGGAAAGAAGAGGTCAAGTCAAGGGCATTTCATTATTTTGTGTTTTTTTAGGGAAACAGTAGGGGTTGCCCCCTACTGTGCTTTTATTGAGAATTAAACTTTATACAGTTCTTGGAAGATACAAGTCAAGAAACAAAGAAAGTGAGAAAGAAAATCATCAGAATTACAGAAAGTTGTCTAGCCATAGTTGCAACTGGAAGCTTAAATCTCTCTTAGCCCTGAGCTTAACCCAAGCTAATTCCTGTTTGAAGACCAACTTGCAGGCTTGCAAAGAGTGTCTTTGATTCATGAAAAATGCATCATCGCGAGCAGTCCAGATTCCCCAGAACATTGCCACAATTATTTCCATGAAAAAAGACCTGTTCATTTGGTTTCTGAAAAGAGGGATTGTGTCCAACAGATTGCCTTGAATTAGCTGAGCTAGGCCTAGCAAATTCCAGCAAGACATAGCAAAAGGGCACTCCAGGAATAGATGGTTTAAGGATTCTTCAACATTCAGATGACAGAGCACACAAATTATAGTTTGCCAAATCCATATTTCTTCTTTTCAGGAGCTCTTTGGTGCTTAGACTGTCTTTGATTGCTAACCAAAAGAAAACTTTCCTCTTTGGCAGACAGCTTGAGTTCCACAGCCACCTATAAACAGGTGACACGACAACAGAGCCCAGCAAATGTGAGTAAGCCTTACTTGACATAAACATAGAAGACCCACAAATATAGTTCCATGTATCATTATTGTGACTGAGGTGAATAGGTTCCAATTCAGAGAGAGCGAAAGTTGGTACTGATCATGTGCTTCAACAGAAAGAGGTAAGTGAAAAAACTTGATTTGTCTTCAGTACTAATGAAAAGCTGAACTAAAATACGATTCATCCTAACAAAGGAGAACAATTCTGGCCATTGAACGCTCAGAGGTGGTCCACGCCAAGCATCTGACCAAAACAAACATGTTGATCCATCACCAATTGTAACAAAGGCCATAACTTTGAATTTGTCAAGCAACTTAAGAACATCCTTCCACCAGAAGGAACTCTTCCTGTTATTTGCAGGGATATTGACACCATTGTAATGAGTATTCCACACAAGATGGACCTAAGGAATATCACACTTATTGAAAAATTTGTGGAGATGTTTGAGAAGTAAACTTTCATTCTGAATATAAAGGTCATGAACTCCTAGACCACCCTTCTCTTTTGAATTGCATACCAGTTTCCAAGCAGCCTTTGGTGACTTTTTTGAATTTAGATCAGACCCCCTCCACAAACAATGTTTTCTGTATTTGTCAATCTGTTTGATCACAGTCTTTGGCAGGAGATATGTACACATAGTGAAAGTTGGCAGAGCACTAATAACTGCATTAGTCATTAGTAACCTACCAGCTTGACTCAGGAAGGACGATATGTTCACTAATCTTCTTTCACATTTGGAGACCAAAGGCCAGAAATCAGCCACAGTAGGTTTTGTAATACTCAGAGGCAAGCCAAGATAGGCAAATGGTAGAGAGCCAATGGAGCAACCAAATGTATTGGCCAGATTATTAAGCTTCTGCCAAGATACGTACCCATTATTTTGTGTTGATGGGACGGAACAACAGGTTCAACTTTTTTAGGACAACTAGGGTATATACATGGAATGTATGATGGGACAGAACAACCCACCAATATATGGAGTACTGACTTGCGGCATGTGTTTATTCTAACAAGTTGGACTGTGAGGCCCAAGTGGTCTTGGTTGTATTTGTTTGTTTCTTCTTTGTTTGTTCTCGAAGAGATCTGTGTATACCGTGATTTTACTGGGCTTTCATTTGAGTGGTCTACCGTGTGTTGCTTTTCTCCCTATATATACATGCGACCTCAGAGAGCTCTCCATCACTCTCCAACTGTGTACTCCCTTCATTGGAGTGAGGTAGATAACTATACAGATCCTACTCTGATCACATTCTTGGGAGGAAACCATTGCTTGCTGCCAACATGGTGTATTTGGCACCAAGTCCCTCTCCAAGTCCCATTCCCTCAGATTGTGATTCTATAGATATAGCCCATATATATTTTGTAAAAGTTTTGGTCGTCCTGGCCATTGTCGCCATGTTCCTCCTGCACACACTTGGTTCATTACGTCGGCTTTCGAGCCACGGCCTCCTCCACGCTATCGTGATGGGAATCAACACTGTGTCCTACCCTCTGGTGAGCTACACCATTGGGCGGATGAAGTCTGACGAGTATTGCTACGTCGACGACTTCGCCGTGTGGGCCGTGTTCATGATTCTGCTCCTGGGAAGCACGGACAACCTCACGGCTTGCCGCCTCGACGACATCGACAACTGGAAGAGCATCTGCGTGAAGCACCTCTGCGAGGCATTCTTGGTGGTGTCTGTCGTTGTGGATATTACCTCGCAACAAAATGACGACTTCCCCTACCTATGGCCACTCTTGGCCATCCTGTTCGTATGCGTCCTCAAGTGGTATGTTAGGATCGCTTCCCTGAGGATGGTGAGCAGGTCCTACCTCTCCAAGAACATGAGGGTGATCGACAAATACATGCAGCATTTGCATAATATGGACAACAACAACAATCTAATGCGGTCCTTCGATCCAGTGACCATGGAAGGCTACAAGTACATGGTAGCTGGTGAGAAGTACTGCATCAAGAGTCGTGGGTGCAGGTCATGTTCCAACGAGGACGTCTTGAAAGTTATCACCGTCGAGAAGATCTGGAGATGCACGGGGAATCTGCTGCGCCTTGAGCAGGGCATGATGCTCAAGGACGTGTGCCTCTCCATGGCACTGTCCAAGATGCTCAACCGAAGGTTTGCTGGATTCAGGTCTCGGAGGCAGGCCTTGAGAAAACCCATGACTTCGTGTTCAAGGGCCTGCTCGCCGGGGACAAGCCATACCAGCGGGCCTTCAGGGTCATCGAGCAAGAGCTTGTCTTTGTCCATGACATTTATTACACAAGGTACTCTTACTTCTACCAGAAGGGTAGATACTTAGCTCTCTGTCTGCCTATCATCATGTTTGGACTATGCTCGTGGCTCACCTACCAGATCGTCAGGGGTCGTCGTCACTCTTACAAACTGTTTCAGTTCACCATATTCATAACTGTTGTCTTGGCATTCCTAGAGGCATACCAGTTGTACCTATATCTAGCCTCAGGTTGGTTCAAGGTGGCCCTGATACGAAGCTACATCAGCACTCCTTTCTTGCAAAGGAGCGGTTGTTTCCTTGAAATGATCTTAGGACTTCTCCTGAGGTTGAAGGCATTTCCCTCGTGGAAGAACAGACTTGGGCAATACTGTATCCTCCGGGAGCTTGGCCACAAAGGCCGGGTGCGCAGTTGTCTCCACTATGCAACACTGCGCCTGGTGGACAAGAAGGCTAAGAAGGGGTGCAAGAAGTCAGTGAAGCTGTCCGAAAATGTGAAGAAAGCCGTCGTTGATTCTCTACTAAGAAGCAATGGCCACCTGACCAACGGCTTAACATCATTGAAGAAAAATGGCGTCGATGGTCACCTCTCATGGGCATGTCACGCTAATGGTACGGACAGATCAGTCACTCACACAATACTGATATGGCACATTGCTACAACACTCTGCAAGCACCATATGGATGCACAAGCTAAGAAAGAAGAAAAAAGAAGACGCCGAAAGTGAAGACATGGTCAGAACAGCCACCACTCTGTCACAGTACTGCATGCATCTCCTGGCTTTCGCACCTGACCTCCTGCCTGACCACAGCTCTTTATCGGAATCCATACTTGATGAGTCAATCGAGGATGCACGTGAGATACTCAAAGGGTGCAAGAGGAAGGAACACTGGTGTGACCAGCTATTGAGAAATAGCACGTGTAATAGTAATGGTGACGAAGCACGTCTCTGGCTGAACGGCGCTCGGCTTGCAAGGCATCTGATTGACGAACAAGATCTGGCGCTTCGCTGGAAGATACTCTCTGAATTCTGGGCAGAGATGATGCTTTACGTCTCACCGTCCGACAATGCCCGGGGACACCTGGAAGCTCTTGCTAGGGGAGGGGAGTTCATCACGCAGCTTTGGGCGCTGCTCACTCATGCCGGTGTGCTGAAGCGAGAACCTACAGGTCCATAGCATGTCAGTGGGCTCATCTCTCCAACCAGTGCACACTTAGCAGGCTATATGTATCTCGTGCGAGTAACATTCTATCTATAATGTCTATTGACCTATGTGTGGGGATGCAAGTGCTTGTAATATTAATATTCTCTGTATATTGTCTATGGTTTCCAGTTCAGGCTTCAGGGTAATTAACTGGAAGGCTTCAATTGTATTACGCGTATGTTACAAAAATGGAGTTTGATAATATATAAATTATGTCAATAGTCTTCTTAGTCTTGAAGCTGCATTTTAGACTATACTGTGCATAAGTTATAAATTATTGCAGCTACTTTGCTGTACGAATGCATTGGCACGTCCAAGCTAGCGTAGAATCTTGCAGATTATTGGTCTCATATTGTGTATCTGCAGCAACCAGCAGATTCAGCCTGTTCGCTTGCTCGTATACGATCGTGGATTATAAGCTGAAACAGTATTTTTCTCTCACACCAAACCAGCCAGCAGTAAATAATCCACGATCGTTTACGGCCTGCCGAATAGGCTGTAGGATAAGAAGCGCCACGGGGAGGAGGATGGTGGTCGCAGCCAACCGCGCCACTCTTCCTTAGCCCAATGGGAAAGGCCCACGACCCGAGCACTACGAGAAGGCACTCGCGGGGCCTTGCCTATTCCACAGGGGGCAGGCCAAGCACCTCCTCAAGGAGTGCGCGACCATGAGAAGCTACATCTGTGGCAACCTCAACCTGAAGGGCAAGGCCCAAAAGCCAGTATGAGAGGGTTGCGCTGCGGGGATGCCGACGGCAGCGGCATTGCTTGCGCCATACGTATGTCATCGTTCGGTGGGAACAACTCACGTAAGTGCCTGCATATTACCGGTGTCACCTCGCGTTGACCTTCAATGGGGAAGCGGAGCGCGGTGTCTGCGTCCGGCGTGGGCTACATCATCTCCGGGCAGCTACAAGTGTGGCAGCTGCCTCACCTTTGTGATTTGCTCGGTGAAGCGCTTGAGGCGTCTATCGGGAGAGGTAAATGCGAGGGATGGAGTGCGGCTGGTGGCTTTCGTGGCAACCACAACCGTCACGCCTCTCTGGGGTGGCTACCCGACTAGCACCAGGTCAGGGGCACGTCTCGACATCCACGACGGGCTGTCCCCACGTGGGGGCCAGACTTGTGGTGGCCCCTGCACTAGCGACATCAGAGGTGTGACCGTCGTCCACTAGGCAGCCTTCACGGAGAGGGATGTCCACTCCGGATCGTCCACAACACAGTGAGGCCACCGCCCGCTGCCGATGGGCACCCAAGCTCTAGTGCTCCTACTTGCAATGAGCGATGAGCAAGGTGATGAGCTCCTCCGAAGCATAGGGTCGACCCACGAAGAGTCCCCCGCACCGCTTTACAGCTCAATACCGGCAGATCTGTCTCGGATAAGCGAGTGCAGCGGCCCGGTGGAAGCAGCGTTGTTGTCGCAGCCGGCAGAGGCGCCCAAGCTAATGTCCCCTGCTGGCTTACTCTGGCGCCGCTATCGCCGTCGTCGATTTCCGCCGGTGCCCCCGTGGCACCCTCTATGGACCCGTCCGAGCCACTGTGTGGCGCGTGCTAGGAGGCCCGTGGAGTGGAGGGGCGTGGCCAGTCGCCACCCTTTGCTGCCAACGTCGCAGCATGCCTGAGCCGTTTGCAGTCCCTAGCGATGTGACAGAAACCATGGTAGCGCAGACAAAGCTGTGTCGACCGACAAGTCGCTACTCGGTCCGAAGTAGGAAAGGCAGTTGAAAGATCTGCTATGAAGCTCTTCGGGGATCTTCTAGGCCAACAAAAGCTGCTTCTTAGTCGAGGATTCCAACCGGGGGAGGATCTCCCACGACCTACCGACATTGGGGAATAGACACGTCGACACTGGCCGAAGCCAGGGACGCAGCCATCGACGGCCGCACACCAGCTAAGGACGCGGCCTACTTCGCTTCCTCCGCCTTCTGTCAGGTCGCTGGCATTTGGCTTTGGCACCACCACGTCCCAGAGGCACGAAAGAATGAGTCTGTGTGCGCGCTCATGGCGCAGTAACTGGTATCGTCGGGCGACGAGCGGCTTCCAGGTAGGTTGCGGGGTGATCGTCGTCGGACTTGTCGCCGTTGTCCTCTGCCCACATGCGGCTTTTCGTGCACCCTGTCATAGAGAAACCGGGAAGAACGAAGTCATGTCCGGTGAGAGGTTAGGCGAGATGGGAGTGCCGGTGGAGCCACGACGTCCTAGCTTGGGCTGCGGGTGCAAGACCCGGCCTTGGACCCAGTCGGCGATGTGTAGGCCAGCGTTGGAGCTGGAGGCCTTGGCGGTCGATGAAACTTACTGGTTGCTATTTATTAGAATGGTCGGGAAAGTTTTGTAGTGTACCCTGTCGCACTTCCTTGGAAGAGGTAAAAAGGGATTCATGACCCCTGGCATATGGGAATCACGACTCATGGGTAAAGATGTACAACCTCTGCAGAGTGTTTTAAACTGATATGTCAGCCGTGTTCTCGGTTATGAGCGGCTTGGATCCTTACTAAATAGTGGTTACTTGGATGGTTTGGTAATATTGCTGATATCTTTAATTATTATTCACATTCAGGAGCCTAAGCATAACTTAGCAACTTATGAATAATATTGAATGTGACCAACTAAAAGTGCTTACCGTAGTTCAACCGTGTCAACCCTTTGAGCCTACATCCCCTCATGTTATGCTTGTTAAGTGGTAGTAGGTTACGCTTGTTTTATTTCAATACTTTGGCAAAATCCTGGATGGGTACCAGATGGAGGTTCTTTTGTGGAGTTTTTCAAGAGGTTTAGGCTTGTGATCAACCCAGTTGGCGATTCCTGTGGTGTTGGAGGCTTCGCCAGAAGAGTAGAGCTAGTACATTGTGTGATGTAAGACCATGTCTTTCGTAAAGAATACTTATGCGCTATGTAATAAAGGCATTGTCTTTGGTATTACCCCTTTATTTGTAGTTATATGTGTGAATTGAATTTGTGGGGCATACATATGGTTGGTACCTGGTTTTGTTCTTAAAACTAGGTGTTACAATGGAAAACCACAATACCCGCAGATCACATAATGTGAGCACCACTGACGGAGGGGGAGAACCCTGGTGTGAGTTCAGACATAGAGAAGAGACTTGAGGCGGCTTTGTGTTTGGGGAGAGAGACATGAGGAATGAAGAAAACCCTAAGTGCTTCGTATACATACTATTTATCGATTATGAGCTAGGCTGGGCTTGACGTGTATTTGAAAGGCGGGCCTTTTAAAAGGTCCGCCTCTGAAGGTTGCTCTTATTTTTTTGAGGCGGACCTCTTAAGGAGCCTGCCTCCAATAATCGATTTGACAAGGCGTTAATTTTTTGGCTATTTCCGTGGATTCGACATCTACTTCTGAAAACCGTAAACTATTTTTTGTGACAGTCATATTTTCTGTCCACCTCCGTTAATCAAAACAACTATCGCCTAAAATCGTTTTTGTAGTAGTGGGCGAGCCAGCTCAGAAAGCATTTTTAGAGGCAGATCTTGATAGAACTGCCTCTACCTAAAAAGCGATTTGCCTCTGAAAATGGTGTATGTAGTAGTGACATATTCACGGGTTTGTGAGGAAATGGCAATATATTGCAGTGAAAGGATTTTGTATTTGTAAATAAGTTGTGGGTAGCTACAAATCCACGGTTTTGTTTAATACAATTCAATCATGATTATTCTATGTCAGCTCCATGCTACGGGCGCAGTCGCTTATTAGTTATTCCCTTTGGATGGCTATCGACAATATATTGGCGAGGACATAAGGTCTTCTTCCGTGGCAGTCAAGCTCCGTGAATCTACAGTAAGTAGTATAGTGTTCGTCTTGGTGCTACTAGACAGCTAGCGAACTTAATTACGTACAAGTACGTGGAGCGAGCATGCATCATCAACCTAATAATTACTAAGTATATTCCCTTTTCTAGAATGGAGTACGAATTATATATTTTTTTAAAAAGTGGCTGCATGCATGGACCCTAGCTAGCTCAACATGCTTTTCATTGCAGGGGCGAAGATACGATCCTATAGCTTGGACACATACGTATTATTATATATAGTGACATCAGGCATCGCAGCCACCACATCATCAGCACCTACCTTAGCTTGGACGCAAGTGGCAAATGGAAGTATATATATGGAACAACATGCATCCATATAATAAAGCGACCTTGACTGGACTCGTGCTAGCTAAAAGAGGTCAACAGTTCACCTATGATCCGCTTTTTCCAGTTAGGCAGATACATGATTAGTGTCTTCGTGCAAGAGCTATCTTCATCGTCAGCAAGAAATTAAAAACTGATGAAGATTCCAGTTATGACTAATTTAATCACTAGTGTGTGTTGCTCAAGTGCGTGGTCAGTAACTGATGTCGTCAAAGGCTGGAGCGTCATCGCTCGTCAATAAATTAATGAGGACATGAGCCATATATGTACTCCCTCTGTCTCGAAAACATCAATGCTGAAGAAAATGATCAACACTTAAGGCACCAATATATGTGTACTATAGAAATATATTCCTTCAAAATTTTAATGGCTTTTGTGATAGAACATTTATGATGTTGTAAATAGAAATAATCTTGTCGTTTTCATAAAATGAACGCATAAGCATTCCTTATTGTCATGAGCTTTGGTGCAATGAGCTTTGAAGTAATCTTATCATTTGAATAAAAGTCTGGGTTTTACCTTGGGTGCAATGAACTTTGAAGTAATCTTGAAACAAGTGATGGAGAACCTATGGCACTACTACCACTGCATTGTAAGCTTGCACACCGCAAAATGGAACGCGAGAAGCACACATATTTCATAAACTCTATCTTAGCGAATATTATGCCACATGAAGCAATGCACAAGCTGTACCACGTCAAGCTGTACTTCATGGAGATCAAGATCGGGACACCGCCGAAGCGCTATCGCGTCAAGGTCGACACTGGCAGTGACATCTTATCGGTTGACTGCATCTCCTGCAAAAAAAGCCCCCGCAAGAGT